TGGTGACTTGAATACCAGGAACCTACCAGAGGCAGGGAAAATACTTTTGGATAGTTGGGAGTAATGCCAGGGGATCAAGGGTGTTAAAATTTGAATTAAAGTAAGAGGAAATGAATGGCTTTTGAGTAGATAAGTGATGTGGTGTTAAGATTGATCTGAAGTAGGAATAACATGAAGACAACAGTTAAATATAAAGTAAACCACCTTTTAAAAAAAGTAGATCAATTCTTTATAAATTTAGGCAACATAGGGTACCCTGAAGAGATGAGATAAAAGATAGGTAAGCTCCCCTGAATTTATGTATGTGGAAGAAGAAGGGGGAGATTTGAGGGTGGGCAGTTGCTCTAAGGATGACGGGATATTTGAGGGACCAATGTCAGTTTACAATTTGACTTCTGGAATCTTGGAAGGTGTATCTGGTTCATAGGTTTAAGGGTCCTGAACCAGCCCTGGGTTCTCAGGAAAGCTAACCTCCCAGAAAATCAGGGGAGAGGTAATGCTAGACCTCTCATCTCTTAGAAATTACAGAATTGGTCTGTAGTGGTAAAAATAATGGCTGCTAGGGATGGCCTTGCATCTTTTATACCTGTTGTAACATTCTCCAACTCTATGATCACTGTGGACACCACACATGCACGACTATTGAGGACTTTCAATGTGCTTTGATTGAATCTGACGCAAAAGATCAACCCTGTGACGTGGATATTGCAAGTTTCATTAATACCCGGGGAGGTGGATGCTCAGTCAAGGTCACATGGTGATGAAGGGGAAGCCAGGGCTTCCATGCTAGTCTTCTCACCACATATACCTGTGTCCTTCTCTGTTCTCTTTCTCCCATTACCCAGCAAGGGAAATGAGCATCTCAGAAGAACCAAATTGCCGGAGCAAGTCAAACTATGCATAAAGAGAAACAGCATTTTGTTTAAGAACTTACATCACGGAAAATAAAAGCAGCACATACTTGTATACTGTATGTCCGTTTATGCACTCCTCTTGATCTCCATGTAAGAAGTGTTGTTTAAAATGGAACGTCTTTGTACGAAATATAGACAACCTAAAACAAGACGTTTTAAGTCTCCATCAGGAAGTTACAGACAGACACTAAAAGTGTGTTTTTTTCATACTGTGTTCAGGGGAGGCCCAGGAGCAGGGGAAGGGGTAAGGTGGAACCCACATGATATTAGGGACCTCCTGACTCCTTTGCCCACTCCATACGTTCTACTTTTTCTTTAAGCATTTATTTTAACATATGTATAAGATTTCCTTTGAACAAAGGGTTATACAGCTTGAAAAGGAGAGCCAATTGCCAAGTCCAGTTTTTTCTGTTTCCCCACTTGCCGTCACCTGAACAACTCAATTGGATTTACCCTGAAATCAAACCTGGTTTTAAGTTTAGTGCTACAAATGATACAAAACAAGATACATTATTCTAGAAGTGCAAGAAAATATGATCAAAATATGCAAATAATGACTAAATATTCTCACATAACCATTGAAGTGAGAGAAAACTGGCTCCAGAGGAAAAGCAGCCACGCCAGCCACATAAATAGCAGGCTGTGCTTCAAGAACCTTGGGGTAAATGGAGGATGAACTTACTCTTTGGAAAGCAAAGAGCACAGAGAAGTCCACATGTTTGTTACACACAGCAAGGACTCAGAGATCAGCTCACAGCATCATCATTTAGGTATTTATGGGAGAGTTTTAGGGACAAAATAGAAAGAGTCTAAAGATTTAAAAAGCTGTTGATATATATTCTTGGATTGGCTCTTCAGACTAATTTTATTATTTTACACTACCAGAACTCATCAACATATTATGGGAATGCTTTCCCCACAACTTCATTAACTGGGGATTATTATTTTAAAGATTTTTGCCAGATCCAGGCCTTTAAGAAAAACTCAGTTGGAGGAGGTAGAGCCTTCTGCATTGACTGGTGCCCTGAGTTGCTGCCCATCACTGTGGGAGGTTGGCATTGTACAGAGCAGGACCTAGGGAAACGGTCCTAATTTGTGTCATCTTGGGAAGGTCCACAGTCAATCCATTGGAATCCGAGCTTTCCATAGAGGATAGGCTCATCTGAACGATTACAGTTATAAGTGTATGGTGGTGGAGCGATCTGAGGTAATTTGAACTTTTGAATACCAACTACAGTACAATGTTTGAAAAGCTGTAAAAAAGACTTCCTCACAATTCACAATTGAAGATGGAGACTTTTATAATTCTACCCCAAAGTGTTCCATTTTAAACATCTTATAGGTAAATAGAAGTAAATGGCATATATTTAAATTGGATTTGTTCTCAAACCTGTTTCAACTTGAGCAATTGCTGCAATAAAATTTCCTTTAATATCTTTGTTTGACTGCCATTGGTTAAAAAAAAAACCCTAAATCTGAAGCTATTTCTAAAATTGAAGATTGAACATAATTGATATTAAGTACCATTAAGCTCATTATTGGTCTTGTAAAGATATTTCTACAGTCTCTGGAATGAATATCATCTCAGGGAAAAGAAAGTTCATCTTTTATGAGCTTCCTCTATTTAACTCTATTCACCAGATTATGCCATGTTATGTGCTAGCTTCTGAGTACTGGAAAAATGAGGAACAAACCCAATCTTCAAGAAGCTCTGTCTAGAGATGAGTGACATACGTACATGTACACAAATAAAAATGTATGGTGACAGTGCTATAATAGAGACAAGTGTCATATAAGTGCTTTGGAAACACAAATGTGAAGCTAGCAATTCTACAGTCACAGTAGGGGGACTGGGGTAAGAATGGCCAGGGAAACTAATCAAAGGTTCATTTCAGCTGGGTCTTAATTGATGAGCAGGAGGTTGTAGAGGTAGATAAGGGCACACGGAGGTTCCAGACAGTGCAAAGAGTTTGTCCAAGTGGATGGAGGTCAGAAAATTCAGGTAACGGAGAAATCCACTGTGTTTAGAGATATGGTCACGTGAATGGGGAGACCCTGGATGGGAGCCTGGAAATCCCAACCAGGTAAGCTGTAGGCAGGCTGCGAACTGCATGTTTGCTTGTCCACTGAGTACTGAGTTAGGATGTACTTTGACTCATGATCCTACAGTTGAGGGATAAGCATTCAGTTTATTGCCTCTCTAAAGGATTGTGTTTCCTTTCTCCTAAGAAGTATACGAAAGGAAAAGAAAAATAATTTTAATACATTTCTTCCCAGCAACTTTATTTGTATTTGATTTTCTAAAAGAAATATTCAGTGTATGGATCTGTAGAAATATGTATGATTTTAGTGAAATATATATTTCTACAGAACCATAATCATTTCTATCAGATCTTTCCCATTCCACAATAAAAGTCTTTAAAATGAATGACAAGCCAATGGTATAGCATTATCTCTACTAGGGATCTTTTGATAGTGTTTGTCAGTGTTTGAATAGTGCAGTTTTGCATGGGAACAGGCAAATTGTGGGCTCTTAACAAAAAGCATCTCAGAGAATTCTTTTGATGATGATGAATTTTATCTTTGTATATCGGGTTATTCTGGGTGATTTCTAATGTATCTTTCTCTCTGATGCTTTTAGTTCTCTCTCACTCTTTACCTTACTATGTTTCTACAGGGTGGTCATAACATCTGGAAACATAATAACATTTTATTATGTATTGTAATATCAATATATCCTTTATTAATCTATGTCTCCAGACTTGATGGCTAGCATGTAGTACCAAACTGTCTAATGCTGAGATTAGTCAAATACATTTTTATATTAAAAAAGACGAGATGCTTAAAAATACAGAAAAACCTTGGATCACTAGTAACATGGTTTGTGAGTGTTCCGCAAGATGAGCAAACATTTCTAATACATTTTAACATGGAAAACGAGCGATGTCTTGCAATACGAGTAGCTTGTTTCCAGAATGAATTATGCTCGCAAACCAAGTACATTTTAATTTGGTAAACGAGTGATGTCTTGCAATACAAGTAGTCTGTTTCCGAATGAATTATGCTCGCAAACCAAGGTACTACTGTAATTGATTTTATTTAAGTAGGGTTTACTTTGGTAGAGCTCCTTGTCACTTTGGAGATATACTTTAGGTATAAGCTGATATTTTTATATCTCTGTCAGAAAGCAGCTATATATGATGTTCTATGTATATTGATTGGTAAGGGGACCATTGGATTAAAATGAGAAGTTCATGGCAGACCCAGCTGAAAATGGATATAGAATGGCAGGATAGAAACTAAGGTGGAGGCCATGATAAATTGGTATCTATGTGTGGAGAATCTGCCCTGGCCACATCCTATTTGCACCTAATATACATCTAAGGGTAAGTGTTATATATTTCTTTTTCTTTTAGCTAAGCCATCCTGCCACCTGTTGGCATCTCAGCGGCAGCTCAGCTCGGGCCGGGACTCGAACCGCTGTTGCTCAGAGCTTGCATTCTTGAGCGAGCTCTTAACCAACTGAGCCACTCGGCCGGCCCTAAGTGTTATATGTTTTTATCTGTTGTTCCATATATCTCCAGCAGTGAACTAGAATAGTTTGAATAGCGTATGTGTAGCTTCTTTCAGTTTCCTAGGTATGGCTGTAACCCAGTAAGGAGCTGCCAAGGGTGCACAACCCCCTCCTTCTGAATGCCCTCCAGGTTAGGTTACTGCTAGCTCATGTGGCACCTTTTAAAATTAGAAAAAAATGTCATTTCTTCTAGATGGGCACAGCCCAGGGAGCATGTATTGAGGATGGAGCACAGGACGGTTTTGGGGCACCTTGTGCTGAAAACAATGGCACTGCCTCTACTAGATGTGCCAGGCATCTCCAGGGCACTGATACTTAGGAGAAAATTGCATTGCTCACTTTTGGCTGAACACCTATTACATACTTACATAAAGATGTAAGTAATTAACGCACTTACTAATACATATACTTAATACACATATAGTGTACATACTAATATTAATGTTTATTACATGGAGGTAGCATTTTATTTGCTAGACTTTTCTTTTAAAAAAAAAGCCAAGTTTATTTGTTCATTTCTTGCATGTGAAGTACTCCTTGATGCAACCTTCACCTGAGACTCTGCTGGAATCCTTAAACACCAAACAACTGCAAACAACCCACTTTCTGGGGTTTTCCTCTCTGTCGATTTTACAGAGGCATACCCATTCCCCTAGTTTCTTGTTGTCACCAACCTTAATCAGGTGGATTTTGTGTTCGGCACAGAAGGCCTCCACCGACTTGACACTCACAGGCTCATCGCAGTTGGATGCAAGCACACCCAGATAGTCTTGGCGCTTGTCTAAGGCTTTGGCAGCTTTGCGAATGCTGCGTGCTAGGCCATCATGAATGAGGGCGGCCTTCAGCGCCTCTTGTAAAGCAGTGTTAACGTCCATTACACCTCCAGCAGCAACAACTTCCTTCACCAGGATGGCGGGTTATGGGTAGAGCCAAACCTTGAGGCACCTGGGCCTCTGCCTCTGGGATACTCCGTGGCAGAAGGAAAAGAAATGGATTTTTCTAATTTACTTTGCTAAAGGTATGACAAAACTTCAGAAGATTTCACCCCATGTGTTTCTGAGAGCAATTATTTTAACCAGTAAAGGGAGTGTGAATTCATGAAATAGCTTGGTCAGTAAAGCAATTGCTGCAGAGTCTATAGAGGAAGCCAGTTAGCTTCCCAAATCCAGAGGATGAAGAGTTACTTCTTGGCTAAGACGACAGAGAGGAGATGTATTCTGGAAGTCATAGAGCAATACCAAATCCAGGTCTATTTATGTTTCACATTCTTTTACTCTTTGTGGTAGGCAGAATAATGGTCCCCAAAGATCTCTAATCTCTGGAATCTGTGAACACGTTCTCTTACTAACATGGCAAAAGGAACTTCGCAGATGCGATTAGGCTAAGGACCTTAGGATGGGGAGATTATTCTGAATTATCTGAGCTGGCCCAACCTAATTTTAAAAATCCTTAAAAGAACCTTTCCTGACTGAGATGAGAGTCAGAGGGAGATGTGGCTATAAAAGAATGGTCAGAGTGCAGTGCAATGTTGCTAGCTTTGAAAACGGAAGAAGGGGGAAATGAGTCAAGGCTGTGGCTGACCTCCAGGAGCTACAAAAAGCAAGGAAACATATTCTCTAGACCCTCCAGAAAGGATGCAGCTGTGCCAACACCCTGATTTTAGCCCTTAAGACCCATTTCAGAACTCCGACTTACAGAACTATAATAAATTTGTACTGTTTTAAGCCACTAAGTTTGTAGTACCGTGTTTTGCACTGTATAATGCGCACTTTTTTGCCCAACTTTGTGAGGGAAAAACAGGATGCACATTATACATTGGTAGTACTAATTCCATAGCTATATAAATGTATTTGATTCTTTTATTTGTGCTTATGAATTAAAAGTACAATAATAAATAATGCTAACATTCCTTTATAATACAAAACACAAGTACCTAAATACACACAAATAAAAATTTGAATTAAAAAATTAAAATGAAAGAGTTTTTTTCCCTGAAAGTTTGGGCCAAAAACATGGGTGCATATTGTACCTGGGGGCACATTATACATGGCAAAATAGGGTAATTTGTTACAGCAGCAATAGAAAACTAACACACATTTTATGTGTACAGCACCAAATTACATAGAGCAGGTTTATGTTTGTTTTGGGACACCTCTTTCAAAGACTTTATGGCACTTACTTTTTAAATTAAAATTAATATACTTTAAACTTCAGTGCATCAAAGGACACTATCAATAGAGAGAAAAGGCAACCCACAGAATGGAACAAAATATTTTCAAATCGTATTTCTGATGAGGGATTGATATTCAGGATATATTAAAAAATCCTACAATTCCACAAAAACAGCAAAAAAGCAAATCCTGTTATAACATGGGCAATGGACTTGAATAGACATTTCTCCAAAGAAGATATATGGATGACCAATGAGCAAACAAAAAGATGCTCAACATCACTGATCATTAGGGGAATGCAAGACAAAACATGAGGTACCACTTCACACTATTAGAATGTTTGTTGTCAAAAACAAACAAACAAAAAACAACCAAACAGAAAATCACAAGTGTTGGTGAGAATGTGAAAAAATCAGAACCGTTGTGCACTGCTGGTAGAAATGTAAAGTGGTGCAGTCTCTGTGGAAAACAGTATAATGTTTCCTCTTAAAATTAAACATAGAATTACCATATGACCCCCAAATTTCACTTCTGAGTATATGCCCAAAAGAATTGAAAGCAGGGATATAAATAGATATTTGTACACCCATGTTTATAGCAGCATTATTCACAATAGCTAAAAGGTAGAAACATCAAATGTTCATTGATAGATGAATGAATAAATAATACATGGTACATACATACAGTGGAATATTAGCCTTAAAAAGGAAGGAAATTCTGACATATGCTACAACAAGGGTAAACTGCAAAGACATTATCCCGAGAAATAAGCCAGACATGAAAGGACAAAGACTCTGATTCCACTTCTGTGAGGTGCTTACAGTAGTCAAATTAATGGTCAGAAAGCAGATTTTTTTTTTTGTGCTAGGGGTTGGGGGAGTAAAGAATGGGGAGTTATTGTATAGAGTTTTAGTTCAGGATGATAAAAAAGTTAGGGAGACGAATGGTGGTGATGGCTTCACAGCAAAGTGGATGTACTTAACGCCACTGAACTGTACACTTGAAATGGTAAAATTTAGGTATATTTCACCACAATAAAAAATTAATACACTTTAAGTACAAGAAAAAAATGAGATTGGTCCAGGCATGTCTGAAAAACAGTAAAGAAAGCATAGCAAGAGAAGGGGTCTTTGTAGGGCTGTTCTCAGCTAGGGGAGATTTCTATTTAACCTCAAGGGGACCTTTGGTAATATCTGGAGACGTTTTTGGTTGTCATAGCTGAGGGGTTGCTACTGGCATTTACGGGGTAGAGGAAGGAGATACCGTTAAACATCCTACAATGTACAAGACAGCCTCCCACAATAAATTACCCAGCCCAAAATGTCTGTAGTGCAGAGGGTAAGAAACTCTGTTCTAGAGAGAGGTATTCGGGTAACCTGGTTGGATAGAGTTGGAGGGAAATAATGAGACGTCTCTTAAATATTAAGCTAAGAAGTTTAGAGTTTGTGCAATAGGTAATATATTCTTTAAGGTAGCGGAAGGGGGACTTAACAACGATTGGAAAAGATTAATCATGGGAAGATGGATTAGACGCAAGGGCAGATTATGGGCAGGAGACCACACACAGGCAGTTGTTCCAGTAATCCAGTATGGTGTGGCAAAATGTGTAATGCTCCATGTAGGTGCAAGTGCCAGGGATTGTTCTAAGGGCTTAATATGTATTAACTCATGTAGCCCTCATAACACCTATATGTTAGAATCATTGTTCTCATTTCACAAAAGAGGAAATGAGGAACAGAGTAAGTGTCCAAGATCAGTAAAGGATGAAGGCGGGCTTTGATCCCAGGAAGTCTGTGCTATTTTCTTTTTACAGATTTAACTTTTTTTTTTTAAATGCTGAATACATCTTTTTTTCCCTGTCAGCTTGGATGGAAAACTGGGTTTATGGTTAAGTAGGATAAGGGTATTATCTAGACTTTATTAGCTCCTTTCTACATTAGACTGAGTTTGAGGAAGACTGAGAAAGGTGATAAGACAGCAATTGGCTCCTTGAGTTTTAGAAAATTGCTTGGAGGGAAGATTAGAATTAAGAGTGGGCGAATTAAAAATATAGGTGGAGGAGGTGAATAATCAGGGAGAGATCGCAATTTCTCACCCACCAGCTCTCAAATTCTGACTCTCCAAAAGCTTCAGCAGCCTGTAGATGCCATTCCACTGACAGGCATCAAACTTGAAAAACACAATCTAGGCCAGGATTGTCACTCCACCTCCCACTCCCCAGTGACACTCACTTGTCCTGAACACTTCCCACTCCATAATCCTTTCCCATGAAAAGGAAGGAAGCCAGCTATGCTCTGCCGTGATGGCCTTGTGTGAGCTTGTTTAGGGAACGGGGGATGGGGGTGGGGGTTCTGTGCCACTGAGGAAGGGGAGCGGAGGGGCTCCATTTCATTGAGAGAACTTACCACACTCTCCTGTTTGCTGGCCCTTTGTAATCAGTATAATCAGTATTGCAGTTTGCCATAGCTCTGAAAATCTGGAAAGGGCAGAAAGGTTGCTGACCCAATTAGTATTTGTCCCTGAACAGGTTCAAGACCAGGAATCCAGCTGTTTTAGTCTTGATTCTATCACTAATAAATTCTGTGCTCTTGGACACATATTCATATTCATCATTTTACTGTCTTCTTTCCCAAGCAACACCTTTTCACATTCATAATAGGCCGCTGGAGTAAGCAAAGCAGATATTAGCTTTTTTTTTTTTCTGATAAGAAAAACTAAAGTTCCAAAAGGATAGGTGATCTACTTAGGGTCACCCAGCTATCATGTGACAAAACTGGAACATGAATGNCCCCACAAAAAACCCAATAAGGTGGACCTCATCAAAATCAGAACTTTTACTCTTTGAAATAATGCTTGGAAAATGAAAAGGCAAGCCACAGAATGGAAGAAAATATTTGTAAAATATTTATCTGACAAAGGACTTGTATCTAAAATATATATAAAAAAGTCTTACAACTTAGTTATATGAAGATAAACAACTGAATTAAAACTGGGCAAAAGACTTGAACAGATAATTCATTAAAGAAGATATATGAATGGCAATTAAACACATGAAAATATGTTCAACATTACTAGCTAACAGGGAAATGTAAATTAAAACTGTGGTACACAACCAATAAAATGGTTAAAATTAATAGGACTGACCATGTCAGGGGTTGATGAGAATCTGGAGTTACTGGAATTCCTGTAAACTGCTCGTGCTAATGTTTACAATTTGATAATTTATTAAAAAGTAAAACATATTCCTATCATTTGACCCAGCCATTCCGCTTTTAGATATTTATCTAAGAGATGTGAAAGCGTATGTGTAATGAACACTTATGTCAAGGGGGAGGACTCAAGGTGGCAGAGTAGATAAACACCGTGCTTGCATCTTCCTGAGACCATATATATTAAAATTACAACTCAATTACAATACAGTCAGCCTGAAGAACCATCTGAAGTCTAGCTGAACAGAAGTCCTATAACTGAGAATATAAAAAGAGGCCACATTGAGATTGGTAAAAGGAGTGCAGATGAGAAATGGGCCAGCCCTACATCTGTGTGTGGCATGTAAGAATCAGGAAGAATATCTTGGACATGGAGGTCCGACATTTGCATGATAGGGGTGCCAGAAAGAGAATAGAAAGAGCAAGAAGTTGAAAACCTATTTGAAGAAATAATGATGGAAAACTTCCTTAACCTGGCAAAGGAAATGGATTATTCAAGCCCAGGAGGCACAAAAAGTCCAAAACAAGATGAACCCAAAGAGATTCACACCAAGACACATCATAATTAAAATGCCAAAGGTTAAGGACAAAGAAAAAATCTTAAAAGCAGCAAGAGAAAAGCAGTTAGTTACCTACAAGGGCAGTCCCATGAGACTATCAGCTGATTTTTTTTTTTTTAGCTGAGCCATCCTGCCACCTATTGGCAGCTCAGCGGCTGCTCAGCTCGGTCCAGGACTCGAACCGCTGTTGCTCAGAGCTCAAACTCTTGAGCGCTCAGCTGATTTCTTAATAGGAACTTTGCAGGCCAGAAAGGATTGGCACTGTGATCCCCAAGACTTATTTGTTTTATACTTCTTATTCCCCTATATGTTTTTCCCCTCTTTTTAAATATTTCTTTTAATTTTTCAATTATAGCTGACATTCAATATTATTTTATATTAACTTTAGGTACACAGCATAGTGGTTAGACAGTTATATAAATTAAGAAGTGATCCCCTCAAGTAGTCTAGTACTCACCTGGCATACACAGTTATTACCATGTTATTGATTACATTCCCTATGCTTTACTTTACATCCATGACTATTTTATAATTACCAATTTGTATTTCTTAATCCCTTCACTTTTTTTAACCTGACCCCAACCCTTCTCCCATCTATAACCTCAAAAAATCTAGTACCCTTCTGACACCATACATAGTTATTACAATAATATTGACTATATTCTTTATGCTACACCCTATATCCTGATGACTACTGTGTAACAACCAATTTGTACTTCTTAATCCCGTCCCTTTTTTCACCCACCCGCAAACTCCCTCCCTTCTGTCAACCATCAAAATGTCCTCTGTATCTCTGAGTTTGTTTCTGTTTTGTTTGTTTTGTTCCTTAGATTCTTTTATAAGTGAAATTATATGACATTTGCCCTTGTCTGCTTGACTTACTACACTCAACATAATACCCTCTAAGCCATCCATGTTGTTGCAGATGGCAATATTTCATTCTTTTTTTTTAATGGCTGGGTAATATTCCACTGTATATATGTACCACCTCTTCTTCATCCATCCATTCATTCATTCATTCAGGGACACCTGGGTTGCCTTCATATCTTGGCTATTGTAAATAATGCTGCAATGAACATATGGATACACATATCCCCTTGAAGTAGCATTTTGGATTTCTTCAGATAAATACCCAGAAGTGGAATTACTAGGTCCTTTTTTGTCTCTTNGGCCCCCTATGGGTTATTTTTAATAATAGCACTGCTGTATACTACACCAATGTACCTCTTTGTACCTCAGTTTTCTATTGAGTAAAAGAGAGATAGCTGGCTCTCTTTATCTCTCAGAATTGTTATTGGGATTGTAGCAGATTCAAAATGACTACAGGACTGGATGAAAAAGGTGAAGGGATTAAAAGTACAAACTGGCAGTTACAAATAGTCACAGGAAAGTAAAGAACAAAATAGGGAATATAGTCAATAATATTGTAATAACTATGTATGGTGTCAGGTGGGTACTAGACTTACCGGGGTTATCATTCAGTAAGTTATATATACTGTGCTATATACCTGAAATTAATATAACATTGAATGTCAACTATAACTGAAAAAATTTTTTTAAATTAAAAAAACGTTTTTTGTTGATATGGAGAATAAAGATGACTGGGGCCAGCTGAGTGGCTCAGTTGGCTAAGACTGCGAATATAAAGATGACTTTTTTAATCCAAAATAGAGAAGAGAATAAATCTGCATAGTTTTTTAAAAAAAATGGCTACAAATACTTTGCAGGTCCTTCCATGAAGGTAACAGTTATTCCTTTGCCTCTTGAATCTGGGCTGGCTTGGTGACTTGCTGTGACAAATTAGATCTGGTAAAAGTGACATGTGGCTTCCACGCAAGACCTTAAGTTGCTCTGCATCTTCCACTTTTGCCCCCATGTTACCCTGAAGCCATCATGTGAAGAAACCCAAGCTAGAGCTGGTGGTGATAGAGACACAGCTGACGGCCCAGACATGAGTGTGGCCATCCAGAATCACCCCATCAGCTAAATGGTGCCACATGAGTGAGCCCAAGAGAGACTGCCCCATCCACTCATAGGATTACCAGAAATGATAATTTGTTGTTTTAGGGTGGTTTGTAGTGCAGCAATAGATAACGCAAATGAGGATAAAATGGGTAGTAATTATGAAAGTATTTTGAAATTACAATAATACCCCTGCAGTTTCTCTAAGAATAAAGCTTTTTATTATTAATAAAACCATCTGAACTAAAAATTAACAAAGCAGATGAAAGGTTTAAAATCAAGCTATTAGAAAAAAACATTGAATAAAAAAGAAATCTATGAAGACATAATAATAAATATACATAAATAAGTGAACAGATGGGAGAGAAAAGGATTGGTTCTTCTGTCCATCAATAAGTGTAGAGAGAGGGAAAGTGGAGTTGAAAAATCAGCATTTTGCAACCACGTGGTGAAGACTGACTAGAGCAAGAGTCGGCAGGGCATGCCAAATCTAGGGGGAAAGTTTGAAGATGATATTTGCTTGGTCTCAATATATCTTCACGGATTGTTATCCATTGTGAAAGGAAAATCCTTAATCACACAGTAGGAAAATTATACAATACCATGACTGGGTAATGAAAATTAGAATCACCAATGAGGATCGATCGATAGGCATTGTGTGCCTCTAGATGTGATACCACGAGAAAGACACATTCTTGGGGATGCGTAACCTGAAACCCATGAGCAAACATTAGATAAACTCAAATTGAGGGATATTCTATAAAGAAAACTGGCTTGTGTTTTTGAAAAATTAAACTGTCATGAAAGACACAGAAAGACTGAGAAAATGCTCCAGATAAAAAGAGACAGAAGAGAATGACAAGTAAATGCAATACATGATTCTTAATTGGGTCCTGTACTGGACGGGGAAGATGCTATAGGGGACATTATTGGGAAATTTTTAAAGACTGGGACATAGACTGCAGATTAGATAAAAGTCTTGTTTCAATGTTAAATTCCCTGAACTCCACTGTGGTACTGTGGTAATGTAAACCAAATATTTGTGGTCTTAGGAAATGTACATTGAAATATTAAGGAGTAGAGGGTCATGATGTATGCAATCTAATGTCAAATAGTTTTAAAAAAAGAAATTACACACATGCACACATGAGACAGAGACAGAGAAAGATCCAGTGAGCGAGCATGCAAGAGAGAGATGATAAAGCAAAAAGCAAATGTGGCAAAAATGTCAAAAATTGATGAATCTTGGTAAAGGATTTATGAGAGTTCTTTAAGTTACTCTTGCAACTTTTCTGTGAGTTTGAAACTATTTCAAAACAAAAAGTTATAAAAAGTATATCGGTGGATATATTTTTTATTTCCATATGAAGATGATCTTTGTAAGCTTAATAGAAGGCAGAACTCATGCCCTAAGTGGTTGAGGCCCCGTAGAACCCAGGATGGTCAGTGGGAGAGTGTACACTCTGCCTCGTCACCAAATTGTCCAAAGCTGTCTACACAGCATCCCATCTCGGAAAGGCCTTGGAACCCCCACTCTCCCCTGCCTCCCTCTCTGACTGTGAGCTTTGAAGTCATCAGCAGGAGGGTCAGAGTTCAAGGTTACAGTGTGGGAAAAGGAGGCTGGAGCCCTTTGGGCACACCATATATGAAGCCTGGTAATGTAGTCCCTAGAAATCAGCCTTATGGTGCAGGCAGCAGGGCAGAGAACTGTGGAGAGTGGATTTAGAGGTACAAACAGAACTTAACCAGCACAAGCAGTATCTTTGGTTAGAGGACTGTGGGTGTTTATTATTTTCTTCTTATCTGCTAGCCTATAAAACTCCTGGCTCTGGTATGAACACCCCCTTCCCAACAGGAGGACTTTGGTAACAAAAGGCATATAGTTTATATATTATATATAAATATATATATATATATGTATATATATATATATTTCAAGCTATCATGGTAAAAACAATTTAAAATGTAAAATTCATATTAAGAAGCATATGCCTCTACTTTTCTAAGTTATTTGTTACGATGTTCTTTAGCAATTAATCCCTCCCTTCCCACAACTCCTCTTTCCTGATTTTCTGTGTTGTGCTTATTTTTTCTACATTATTTGTATATTTACTAAGTCATCTTCTTACAACAAAAAAACCTCTTAGGATTGTCTGCCTTACGAATTGCTGTGACTACATAAAGCACTGTATTGTTATGGCAGCTGCAAAACAGCTTTGATTTGATCAAGGCTCATTTAGGACAAGGGCAGACCACTTCCTGTCACCCCTATGCTAGGAGAAACAGTTCTCAGAACGTTCATGGCTACTGTAGAGGTAGAGAAAGAGTCCATGTCAGTGGGAACACGGCTTTCTTATTTTTAGAACCACTGTGAGTATAATGGATGTTTTGTCTAGGACCAACCTTCAAAGTGGCCAAATGTTCATGCACCTATAATTTTGGGGGCACAACTGAAACATAAAAAAAAATCCAAATTCATTTGAGTTTAGGAATATAATACTTAAATACTTTTATTTTAAATGAGTTGCTTTTATAGAAAGTGTCTGGTGTGAAGCAAGTGACTCTATTTTAAAATATGTCTTTTATTAAAAAAATTTTCCACAAAAGCCTAGTATTAATTTAATCAGATAAATCTCATTTTTGTTATAGACATTTTGTATTTGAAAAGCAGTCATATTTGAGGTGTGTAATGATACATCGTGTTGGCCTTGACAAGGTAATTTGAAAAAAAAAATTTCGTAAGAAAAAAGGTATTTTATTCACTCAGAATTTTGAATAACTTTTAAAAGTATAATTTGAAATGATTAAAACAAATCATTACCTGCTAAAAGGCTCGGGTCATGTGTATTTTGACTTAAATTATTTAGCACACTGACATTGATTTTGATCATTTGCTCACTATCAAGGCTTCACTGTGGGTATTATGCAGTAAAACCATTAGCAACACAGATTTCAATTCAGAATGTTAAAATTCATCAAAACACTTTATGTGTATTTGATGCATTGAGAAGTTCAGTCACAATCAACATGATATGGCTTATCTCCTTTGAGAAATGCAAATTTTTTCAAATTCTTTGGCCTGTTTGGGTGTCAGGAGCCTGGACTCCAAACTCTCTTTGAACTCATCCTTTCAACTTCTAGGTTGTAGTTCTGTTTATTCAGGTAAAGTTTAAAAAAATATTATTTTGGAGTAAATTAGATAAAATAGATGCTAATTACCTTCCTTTTAATTTTTTCATGTTGCTACATGTATTAGTTCTGACTTTGGCATTCATCTAACTCTATCACTAACTTAAGTAAATGTGCTGGTGTGGTAAGTTTACCAGTTAACTTAATCAATTGATAAAATATTTTTTGAAAACAAAATATGTAATTAATAGCCATAATGTATGTATTAGCTGACAATAAACATGCAAACAAAGTAAGATAGATCAAATAATTCATCTGGCTTCCATAAAGACCATGTAAAATTGTTTAGTTATCAATGTACTAAAAAGGCTAAAACTTAGCATTGAATTTTTGCAAATAAGTAGAAATAGAGACCTAGAGCAAGAATTAAACTGCTGATTTATGATAATGGCTTGAGCTAAGCATAAGTCAGATGAAGAATAAGCCTGTTTATATATGATATATAATATAATATAATATAATATAATATAATATAATATAATATAATATAATTAGTATAATATAATCACTGCCATTTTCCCTTTATTGACTATTTAAGAACACTAGACTTTGAACCTTGCAAAAAGGGACCAATGCTGGGGCCTATACTTAAGAATGCCCATATATCACAAACATGACAAAATAAATTAATTAAGGAATACATCATGGGAAACCCAGACACTAGGGTGCAGTGCTTAATAATAGCATAGCATTATTGACTATATTCCCCAAACAGCCTTATTGATTATATTCCCCAAACAGTCTTTCTTATCCCCGTGGCAATCTTGTGGTTACCGATGGTGGTTGTAAATGTCTATTACATTCTTTTGCACGCCTGAAAGTAATAAAAAAAAAATAGCATAGCAAATTCCATTAAGTTTCAAAGGCCCGAAAATAATCTCCACCTCTGGGCCTAAGGATGCCCTCAGCATCCATGGTTTACCCTTGAATTTATTCTTCCTTTATTTCATCCCAGCTATGTCCGTTCAAACCAGCTGGCAGTGTTTCTGCTGGTATAACATTCTCAAAAATCTTGTTGGTCTTTTATGCAATACACGGGGATCTAAGATACCACACAAGAGAGTCTTCTACAGATCTCTCCTGGATAGTCTCATCTTGATTCCTGACTTTTGCTGAGATGGTTGCTTGAATCCATGAGTTACATGCCTAATCTCTTTGGCAAAAGTCTGTCCAGCCACACCATTGGTGTTCTTCCCAGAGCACCGCTTCTAACCTTTTGCTACCTGAATAGGTTGAGAATTTTCCAAAGCAAATGCTGATCCTTTTTTTTTTTTAACACTCATTCTTTAGTACCTCTCTTTCCTCTTGCACTTTACAATAAGCAGTAAACAGAAACCAGGCTGTGCGTCCACATTTTGCATAGGAATCCCTTAGCTAAATATCCAAGTTCACTGCTTATAAGTATTTTCCACCCAACACTAGAACACAAATCAGCCAAGTTTTCTGCCACTTTATAACAAGGGTCACCTTTCCTCTAGTGTCCAATAACATGTTCTCCATTTCCTTTTATGATCTCATCAAATCACCTTTGATGTCCACATTTCTACCAACCATGTCTTCATGGAAATCTAGGCTTTTTCTATCATGCATCTTAAAATTCTTCCAGCCTTTATCTATTGTATTACCCAATTCTAAAGCCAATTTTTAGGTGTTAGTTACACTGAGTACCCACTTCTCAGTACCAAAATCTGCATTAGTTTCCTACAGCTCTGTAACAAAGTCCTG